TTTTCGCCGCTTCCGCTTTTTTCGAAGCCGCTTTTAGCTTTTACCGCTTTTCTAAATTATAGCTCTCCGCTTTTATCGCTTTTTAAGAAAACCAACAAGGAAATATTAATTGAATTAAATCAATTAATTTTTAAGTACAGAAGATTCCCGAGAACTTTTGCGCCCAGGCGATTGCGTTTTTTTGAGAGAATGTTCCCGCTGGCAGAAAAAAGTCTCTCGACAGTACCTGTGTCAGGGCTCACAGAAAGTGCGTTGAAAACGAAGTTTTAGATTCTTTCTGGATGAGTCGATTAAGAATGAAGTGGGCTGCGAGTAGATTTCTAAATATAGCCGAACTAAAATACAGCACAAATACACTTGAATGATTGGGCTTAGTTTGGGCGCTACATAATTTTAAGAATTATTTAATGGGCAAACAATTCTCGATTTTAACCGACTCAAAGCCCTAATTGGAGCGTTAAAAGATGATAAATACAAAAAACGGCTCAATCTCGCCTCACCCGTTGGCCGGATAAACTGCTACAATTCGACATTACCCTCGAACATCTCCCGGGTAAGGAAATGGGATTTGTCGACTATCTTTGTAGACACCCATCGGGTGAACCCGTACCAGTCTCGCTCGATGATGAAAACTTTGTCATCGCTTCGGTAAATCAAATCAGCACCCTACTAGGTTTTGAACATTTGATGCCTAGATAATCTTGGCCGCAAATAAGAAACAAACTTTCTAAACAAATTCTGACGCATGACGTCATGCACTGCAATATGATTGGCCAATCGACTAACAATATGACAAGTCAAGAAATAGAACGTGAGAAACGACAAACTATATTCACACATTCCAAAATTTCAGTGTGTCAAAATTTACATTTACGAACAGAAGACTACTCCATCCTGCAAAACTATTGATTTTTTTTAGAAGCTTTAAGAGATATGTCCGACCAACTTGAATTAAGAGAACAACAACAAATTGAATATCCTAGCGTAGAAAAAACCCAAACCTTAGCTCCAAGTACTAGTAACCCATCGGGTAAACCCTCTGAGAGAACATCTACTAAAGAAAAAAGCTCCAAGCCGGTTAAACATAAAATATTTCCCTTCACGTGGCCCGAAATAATTGATTCTAAATTCATGGCTTTATTAACTAAACAAGACCTTGTATTAACGAAAATTATAAAAGTAATCGAAGAAGACCAAAAAAGGACATCTCACAATTGGAAAACTATTATAAACCGTATATCAACAATCTGCACGTCTATGGAGGATCCCTTTACTTTGACGATAGACTAGTCATGACATCAGGTTTGAGGTAAACAATGCTACATAGACTACATGAAGTCCACCCAGGCCAGTTTGCGATGAAAAGTCTGGCAACTCTCTACATTTGGTGGCCTAAAATCTATCGCGAAATAGAAGTACACGGAGAAAATTGCATCGTGTGTGAAAGCATGTAAAAATTTGAAGCCTGTCAAAAAATGATAAAATCGGAAAACTCCCAACGGTCGTTGAACCAAATCAAGAAATGGAATTGGATTTTGCCGGTCTGCTACTGTTAACATGGGGATCAAAAAATATATACACAAAAAATATATAACATCCAGCACATCGGCTAAATCAATCATAAACTTACTTAGAAAATGCATAGCTTTACACGGAATACCAAGAAAGATTAGAACGGACCAAGGGTCGGGTTTTATCTCAAAAGAAGTCCAAGAATTTTGTCAAGAACAAAATATCAACGTAATATTCAGCCCAGTGGGTGGCCATAGAGCTACGGGTCTGGTCGAGCGACTAATTAGAACAATTAAAGAACGACTTTTGGTCATGGCACAAGAAAATCCAAAACCCTCGTTAGAAATCGCATTACTTAAGATCATAAAACGCTTAAGAACGGTAACGAAACAATCATTAAATTGCTCTCCTTTCGAGGCACACTTCGGTAGATCACCAAATACAATCTGTCTGTCATAATTTAGTCAAAATACCGTCGTCAAGAAACCTAGATTGAAACAAAACCTTGTTATGTAAATATAAAGGACAAAAACCAATGTGCCGGGACAGAAAACATGACTGGGATACTCCGGACGATATCGAAGATGAAGACCTGGATAACAATTCATCTTCATCGGACGATATACCTAATGCAGTTAGATATGTACCCACTAGCTCTGGTTCCCCGGTCAAGGTCGTCTCCCGCGCTGAGAAAAGAGAACCTCTAGGCGCTGCAAATCCCGTTCTGAGTAACCCGTCGGGTAAGATCCTTATCTATAGAAAAGTACAAGATAGAAATGAGAACGAACCATTCTATAGCGAATTTAAGGAGGAAATAGTAAGGGAGTTAGATCATACAATAACACTAAAAATTGGAAAACAAATACGTATATCTGATTTAGCCGTGAAAAGGCCATCTGTTCCGAAGAAGATTAGCCCTAGAAAGAAGTTACTGAAGTTCTAGTGAAGTTCTATGCCACCAAAGGACTCAGGAAGACCACAAGACCACAGAGAAACGTTGGATTCAAGAGTACAAAGTCGACACAAGAGAAAATAAATTTAGAAGCGAATTCGAAGAATTAGACATTGCAAGACGAAACGCCGCAATGAAGAGCTCAAGAGACACACTTCTGAGAGGAGGAGGAAGAGAAAAAACGCCTAAGGTACCCCATTGGTCCTGAAAATATACATGAGGCAAGCCCGCCGGATAAGCCCACCTGTCTAAGAAACATCACGCCAGAACCAAAAACGACGAACCCACCCGCCGAAATACTGCTCGAAGATGAAGCCAGCGACTTATTTCTACTGAAAGACCTAAAACTACAAACTCTTAGTAACCCTGAAAACCGACAAGATAAGTTGTTACAAGAACAAATAGAAATTAAACAAGAAACGCCTAGAAAAGATGAAACCAACTTAGAAAAGGAGGAAGAAGTTTATCATCCAGTGATTGACCTAGACTCAGGAGACAACTATCCAGCCCAACACGCAACCCCACAACTCATCCATTAAGACAGCCATCAGGAAGTCGATACAAACAATCATCACCAGACAAAATATCCTGTCACAACGATAAATATAGAGAAAAAACCAAAGGAGGCATCCACAACTAAGAACCTCGCAAAATTAACGGGTACGGCCATAAAGAAGGCCTCTTCGCCAATGAAATCACTGCCGCCTAGTAAACTGCCAGACACACATTCCCGCCACAAAACTAGACCCATTTGAACCAGACAACCGCCAATGCTACTCGGAGAGAGAGTGTTCACTAGCTTGGTAGAAACAGCGGGCGACAGGCCAGGCGAACATAAATCAACCCGAGTCTCAACCCCACCATATACTTCATCGATTGGAGCATCATAATGGAACTCGAAAGCCACCAGATAGACTTGGTAGATTTAACCTCTCCGTCAACCTCTTCCCCATGGCACCCGACCTTAGTTAATCTCTCTGAAGGTGGATCAGATTAAACGGGATACGTAAAGCCATCATTGTCGCTTTCTCCAATAGGCTCCCCCATGAAAGTACAATTTAGACCGGATGTTCATAAATCGAAGTTTCACCCATCGGGCCTACCCTCCAAACCGGCAGATGCTACAATGACACCAATTGTGTTTAATTCCGATTGGCTTAATACCACTTCAATTATCTCCGCGATGGACCTATTGGGCCGACCTATGACGCTCCACGAGCTTAGGAGGTGGACGGCTAATTGAGCTTCAACCCGTGGTGCCGCTTAGACTTCGCTCATCGTGGATCATTCAATTCTGAAAAAGAAAAACTTAAACTTTCTTTTGTTAATTTCTCGTTTAGTTTTTTTTCTCTTTTGCCTTTAGCTTTTGTTTACCATTGTAAAGCTATCTCATTGGCTAAGTTAGCGCTTTATCCGGATTACTTACTACTATACCATTTGTTGCTAACTCTACTTTTGTTGCTAAATATTACTTGCTATTCATGCAACTTTCGAGTTTATGTAGCCTATTATTATTCATCGAATTTAAGTGTCAGGAACAGCATTCCTCCCATCATGGTGACAACTTGGGGTTTTTTTCGTTCCGTTGCCCCGTTATTTCATCCCTGTGCTTGAACATCTTACTGCTGCTGAAAAGTATATGATATAATTCAATTAATTTTTCGCGGGGAATGTGAAAAGGGATATCATTGTAGTGACCGTTTAACCTTTGAGTTTCCATTTAACCATGCTTACGTCTATTAATTGATGCCTGCCAAAAGCGCAACGGCTTTTGGTAGAACTGATATTGGTCATTTATCGTTTAAGAAATACGCAACTAATTCTGTTAACTGAACCAATTCTTCATTCAACCTTTTACTCTGTCTATTACCTTAGCGTAACTTTACCTCTTAGTCTTTTATTCTAGTATTAGATAAAAGCCTGCTACTTGATAGTAGGGATCTTAACCTATCGCGTCTTAAACTAGTCTTAGTTTAAGTTAGTCTTAAACATTCCAATCTACTGTTTTAGTATCATTTTTTAGCAAGAAGATGAATTCTGATGAATTCTTAGAATATAATGAATTCTTCGATTAATTAGAAAGAACACCGTTATAATTATCCACGATTGTTGTGCCGAGATTTTTCAAATTTGCCGAAATCAAAAGTTGTTCACTTGGTTTTATTTTTAATGACAATCGTGGACTCGAGTAGAGATATGGGTACAGGTCAGATGGCTATGCCTCTTGAGCCAGCCCTCTGACCCCCTTTATTTTTTTGACCTTCAGTTTAAGGGCCTATTATGTGCGTCATTTAGCGCCTATTTCCAGAAATCTGGGGTCTAGACCTACAAAGTTAACACTTGTATTTTTTTGATTTTTTTTTTTCAAAAAAATTTTCTATAGATCTTGGATGATAGATCAACTCTTCCTCTGAGACAATCTTTATTGTTAATGCCCGCTCTTGTTCACTTCCTAGCTCAGTTTTTTCATGTCAGATTTTCGCCATTGAAACCGTGCACCCACTAACTAGCACCAATAAAATAAACTCTGTAAGATTTAAACTGTTACTTGATATGTCTTGATACTCATTGGATCAATATGCACAGCGCGTTCAGCGCCGTTTTTCTTTTTATGGATCCCATTCAAAGTACACTCTGTGAACTGAAGTGAGTTTCCGGAAGACCCTTTGAAGAGTGCAGATAGTTCTATAATTCCATGCGTGTGTAGGCAATTTGTCGGCAGATGATAGTCAGAGAATCCATTTTTGCACGACAGCCCCTAAAAAATTCACAGTACAACTCGGTGAAAAACCTATATTCAAAAATCAAACAGTGATCCAAAGAAGTCGAGCCAAGCACAAACTTAAAATACAGAACACAAACTGCCAGCAAAGCAAATCGGATGAATTAAGATAACATCACTGTAAAGACGGCAAAAATAAACTACTTAGCCGACAAAAACAGCCGCCTGCTATATTCAAAATTAAGGCCGTTTTATTTCGTGGTAAATTTGATAATTGCTTACCCCACGCTGTAAAATAATTAAGGCCCTTCTTGGTTCCAATCGCATCGTTCGGAAGCTGAGCAAGTGTACATCACACGGTAGAAACATATGCGGCTGACCTTTGAACCCTCTAGCTGATGAGACTTCTGCAATGGAAGAATGACTTTGGTTGGCTAAATGCACAAGAGGGATGATTGGGCTGTTCAAGGCCAAGTTAGTCTGAAAGGACAGAACAGTTGGATGTATCGTGTAGTCCGAGGCATCGACATTTGCAGAGGAATGCTGTGCTTCTGTGGAATCAAACGTCTCCAGCATAATCCAGAAGTCATTCGGGGTCAATTTGTTATCTTTTACGCCTTAAATACATTTTAAAATGTACACGTCTGAGTAATAAAGGCGCTGGGCTTTTATAAAAGGGCCATGCGTTCGAACCCCACTTAATTTTTTTTTCATTTTTGCGCAGTTTTTGGAAGTTTTCCATTACAAAAAGACAAGCCTGCTCGCTCGCTTTACGCGCTTGAAATTAGACAAAAAATCGAAAATTTCAAACCGGTTTTCCTCGACACTGGAGGACTTTTTTTAAAAAAATTTTAGAAGTCGTTCGAATCACGACTAAAAGGGCTTTAATATGATATATCACTCAACTCACTACGATGAATATTTGTGGTAGCTTATTTGGCGAGGAAAAAACAAAAAAAAGAAAACAAATTAAAGCACACCCGAATACAAAGTTTCTCCCCATTTTTCAAATGGTCGGAACAAAAGTTATAAGATCGTTATACCAATATGTATTCATGGTTTCAAGGTGCGTACTACCAATTTGTATTCATGGTTTCAAAAGACATGTGTTTAAAGTTATCACAGCGAGCTAATACTAACATGTACAGGCTGGAAGCCGGCTTGAATTTTTTTAGTAACTTCTCAACTTATCACACTCAAGTATTCTCACTATGATACATTCAGAAACAAGCAAGAATCATCACTCAGTTTCTCATCAAGATGAACCCCTCACCCCCACCCACAACAACCACCATTCCCCCACCCCACCCCCTCCCACTAAGGCCATCACCAAGAATAACTTAATTTCTAACCCTGCCCTAGTCCCCGCAAGTCATCCTGCATGAGTCTTCTGTCGAGTACAATGTCCACTTGACCTGATGAAGTCATGCCCACCCCATTGGCCTGTGCTGAGTGCAGAGAGAGCCTGAGGAGTCCACTATGGCTGTTGATTATCATCTGTGAACAATTTACATCTTATAGTCTCAAACATCAACTCGATAGCGTAATTTTGCAAAACTCAACTGAACTCAGCGACGGAGTATTAACACACAGAGGAGAAGTTGCACTTCGCATACAAAAGCAAAAATATGACCGATAACGCTACTGGGAAAAACTGAATGAGTAAAACTTTGAGTCTACAAAATTTCTAGAGGGACGCACGCCAATTATGAGTCTACATAATTGCTAAGTGACGCAAGCCAATTATGACGCGTTAGCAGTACCAGTCAATTTGCAAAAGAAAACTTACTAACTAACATGGCTCAATTTATAGAGCAAACGCATTTTAACTAGTAAACGAAAAAGTTAAAAACATTAAAAACATCGGACCCTGGCCAGGTTCGAATCCTCTTATTTTGTTGCGGGTCTCCTTCCCTACCTTTACGCTATAGATCGATGATACCTGAAAACTAAAGTGCTAATAGAGGCCCAGCTGAAGCTTGAGGTACCCCTGTTTGATATTTTTTGTGTTGTTGTACTGATGCCGGATGAAGTAGTAATTTGAAAAAAATAAAGCATTGGGTTTCACCCAAAACCTTGGTTGTTCCTCTATTGAGAAATGAGTGAAATTTGTAATTTTGGAATTTTCCCAGAAACATGCTTCTAGTTCAAGCTTTAATGCGCAGCAATTTAAGCACGGAGGCTTCTTACAACCTGTTGCCTTGATTAAATCTTTGATATCAGATTAAGATTTTTTCGAGAAGTCAAAAGTTAAAATAAACGGACGAGAAATTAAAACATTGACTTTTCTGAAGGCCATTACTTTTTAAGGGCAAAAAATTAACGTGAGCGGTTGCACAGACGAGCTTCGCTCAACCCTTCGTCAATTTCATCTATTCATTGAACCTAAAAACTCAGGTTTGCGATGGTAGTTTTCAAGACAATTAGTAGAAAAACAAATTTTTGACTTTTGTAAAACTGCTTAAAAATTTTGAGTTTTCCAGGGTCATAACTATTTGCATAAAAAAAGGCAGAACCGCTTATGAACTGGAGCTTCCCACAACCCGTTATTCACACAGCAACCAATATCTCAGATGCGGGAGGGTAGTTTTTGAGAAAAATCGAAAAGTTTCAAAAAACGGTCAACAATTCGTAAATTTGACTTTTCTGAGGGTCATAGCTTTTTGTCTCAAAGAATTTGAGAGTAAACTCATGCAGGGGAGCTGCCCACAATCCGTCCGTTTGATTGAAACTAAAATCTCAGATTTATGAGGGTAGTTTTTGAGAATAGTCTAAAACTTTCGAAAAATGGTTTAAAAAAATGGAAAAATTGACTAATTTGAGGGCCATAATTTTTTGTGTAAAAAAGTTTTGGGCTGAGTTACTTATGCAGGGGAGCTTTAACCACCAGCCTGTTCTCTCCATTAACCCAAAATAGCAAAACTGCATGAGTAGTTTTCGAGAAAATGTATAAAACCCAAAAAAAATTGAGTCAAAAATTCCCCCCAAACACTTTTTCGAAGACTGTAGAAAGTGGGGTAAGGTAAAAAAAAGAAGATAGGGGAGCAAGCAGGCACATAGGTGAGTGGCCGCGCTTCCCATTGCTGCCACTCTTTTGAAAATTGGCAGAGTAATTTTTGAGAAAAACAATTTTCCAAAGCGTCTCTAAAAAAAAATAATAACAAAACTCGATGCCATACATTTTCATAATCAAAGAGGAATTTGTTATGTAAGAATCTGTGTTAATATCCTCAGCATTGGCTGTATTTAATAGCTAGTTATTGATCAAAATGAGCACTTTCAAAATGAACACATTTTGTCGCAACAATACTTGCGTCGCAGCAATATTTGCGACTTAGGTTGGAATAAAAGCGAGTTCGCACTATAAAACAAGCTTTGCTTGTGTAAAAATAGCCAATAGACAGTTGAAAAAGAGCCAAGGAACGCACGTACAAAAAAAACATACTGAGTTGTTTTCTGAAAAATAGCAACTTTTCAATAGCTCTTCGAAATACTAGAACAAATTAAAATGAACACTTTTTGATAAAATCAAACCAATTTGGGACACAATTAAAGGCTTTTCCCATTATAGCCGTTACAATTATCTATAGCCCCTACAGCAAGTAATTCCGACTTAACAAAGAAATTTGCACAGTGAAATAACATGTGCATTATTATCGGCTCTTCCCCCCACCTCATTTACGAATCAATTATGTCGTAACGAGGGGTTTTAGAAGGTTAAGTATGAAGACCAGAAATGTTTTTCATAGCCTAATTAGTAGGCATACCAATTTTTCTAACAATCCGATGGTGAAAAAAATTTTACTAGTAAAAATTCGCTGGCGGGGGGAAGGAAAAAGAGCCTCATTATCAAATACCATGTGCATCATTAACTATTTATGCATAACTAGTAACTATGTTCAGCGCTAATATCGTAGCTAACAAAACATGTATTCATTTTGTATGAATGCACTAACAAATGAAAGCAATACAATTTTTGAAAACGAATTGAAAAACGCCGAGCTAATATTTTTAGTTCTAGACTGAAGGGGCTATGGAAAAGAACCAAAATGAACACAGAGGTAATGGTTCGCTTCGCATACACAGGAGAGAACACGACAAAAAGCAGCTCTATAAAAATTAAGAAAAATTAGAAATAAGCCTCGAACTAGTAAAATTCGGCTAGGTCTCGGATTCGATCAGCGACCTACTGCCAGCCATAGATTATGATTCTCACGCACTAACCATTCAGCCCCGCACGCTTAATACATCACAAACACTAGCCAATAATTAAGAGGAGAACAGGTGCTAAAATATTTCCAATGCTAGATCGTGATTATACCAAGTGCCATCAAACAAATTAACACTCTCCACTTTCAATGAACACTTTTAAATGCGAGTTCGGTTAGAAAAAAGAAGGTTCGTACTATAACACTACGCTGATTGCACGTGTTATCAAAAGAAAAAGTAAAAATAAGCCTTGAAAATTGAAAGTTGCTGTGGCCGATTCGAAACTGTCGCCAGAAGACTTGCAGCTTCACGTCCTCACATCTGCTCAACGGGCCTTGATAATTTACCAACACTAGTAAACAATAAAGCAGCAACATATGCATACCCGATGCTATGCAGCAAAAGTCGCACCAACTGTAGTCTTGTAAGCCAGCAAACTAAGTGGAAACTAAGCCGAGAAAAACAGAAGCAGACAAACAATAGACAGACACGTTTTTGGAACAAAGATTCCCATTAAAAAAAAACGAGAAAACGGCGAAAAAGTTCTTACAGGCAAAAACGAACTAACCAAAAAAGATAGGATAAGACTTGAAAAAGTTTACAATGTACCGGGACCCAACCGCCGACCTGGACATTATTAGTCGTTTTCACACGTTTTCGCATCTGCGCGAAGGTAGCTTGACAATAGGTAAACACCAGCTAATAATGAAGCAGATATAACAGGTGCTATTAAAATGCTAACGACGAGCAGCGAAGTGCCATCAAATAATCACCTTTACTTGCAAGCTGGGTTAGAAAAAAATGTATTCGCGATATCACATGTAGCTAGACCACTTGTTTAAACAATGGACAAACATTGATTTTTTTTCAAATATTAAATTCTTTTATTTCCATTTTTGCTAACTTTGCCAGGATCATCTGATGTTTCCCAGCTCAATACCAGAAAAACCTTGTCGAGTGTATTCAATTGCAAAACACACGCGCCAATTTTAACTTTGTGCCAATCCAACATATTCTAATCAATAACAGTTCTAATCAATATGATTGAGAAATTTTAAATCGATTTAAAGGCCACTCTACCTTATAGCAGATACTTCTTGTTTTGGCAAAAAACAGCCCACACTAATGACTCAGATGCACGCGCAAATTTTTTTTTCGAGCTCTTTTAAGGTCGACGCAATTGAAAAAACAGGCCAAAAAAGCAGGCGGCAAAAGTAAATATTGGCATCAGAAAAATTTTAAAAAAACTTGTCTGTCAGCCAAAAATGGATATGTCAAAATAGTACAAGGGAGGGCCCCTTTGAGTCGGCAGGGGGTCAAATCCCTGATAGGGGGAGCGTCTTGTATCTGCTACTGTGTCAAAGCAAAAACTGCTCACAACGCTGGCCCCCAATCTCCGCAAATTCTTGATGCTCAGACCAAGCTAATCGAGGAAGCCACATAACTTTCGCTCACCTGTGATGGCATGGGGTAGAAGCTGGCCTGAAGAGGCAATTTGGGGTTGTAATGTCTGGCTTGCATCTGGAACCCATTCAAATCAGTGTAAAATGTCCTCTTCATGTTTACACCATCACTGGACTTTAAGAGGTCCACGGCCTCTATACGCATGGCAAGTTCTCTGTTAGACAGAAGTCGGATGTCAACCAGGTTTGATATCTGCACACTATGGCCATCTAGACCTGAACAAAATTACACATCAAAAAAATTTTTAGAAAAAAAAGCAGAATTTGTAAGACGAAACAAGATTGGCCCGCTTCCGTGCAACTAGATCACAAAATCTTCAATAATTTTTTTTGCAAATAGATTGCCAAAGAAAACTAAAATCTTCAATATATCTTTCAAGTTTACTATTTGATGTGTGAAAGAATGTAAAACACCAAATTGTGTATAAATTATGCATTTCCAAAATCTCGCTGAAAATAGATTTCAATGATTATACTGTTATTAATGTTTTTTTTTCGGTTCAAATGATGAAATAAAACAGTATCAACTGTGTTCACTTATTACTAATCAAATGTCAGAGCCCATGCATTATAATGCTAATGCAGCCTACAGATTCAAAAAAGCCACCAAGAGTAGCATTTTTATTTGCAACTACACGGAAAACAGACAACGACAATCTACAACTCAACAATCGGATGTACAAGAGCCTTCTCTCCGCTGCCTTCACTACACCGTGCACACAACTGCCCCAGGAAAGCACTCTTTTTCAAGAGTCATAAGTCGGCCGATAAAGCCTGTATAAAGGTGCTATTGGAACCAAGTCCCAAACCGGCACTTGCAAACCCAACGGTGCGCAGCCAACCTGGGTTCTGACTTGGATCGGTCGCAGTCCTGATTGACTTTTTGTCCCTCCAAGAAAACAAGATATCTGTGTTGGTGCCGGCTCTCGGACAGGAGAGAGTGTCACGGCCGCAGATCTAGAAGTTGGTTGGTCCCTATAACACCCTAGTCTAAGCAACACATTGCGAAAGCAGTGCTAGCATTCTAGGAGGCAGAGATACGTTGCGACCGGGTCTGCGATTGCTTACTTGGACAACCTCTACTCTGTCGTTATTGTTGGACCTACCAAGAGTAACCCGACGGAAGAGGGTCTAGAGTGAAGAAGAAAGTGCCCAGAAGGACGAAGAGGGTGCAAGAAGAAGGGCTACCAAGAGTAACCCGACGAAAAAGAGCCTAGAGGGAAGAAGAAAGTGCCCAGAAGGACAAAGAGGGTGCAAGAAGAAGAAAGTACTAGACGAAGAGGGTGCAAGAAGGAGCATGCCTGCTCACATAGTGAGCGAAGAAACCCCCCCCCCCCCACAATGCCATCATCCCTTAACTCCCAAATGGCATCAGCAATCGAAAACTACGACCAAAGCGATGACGAATCTAATTCCGAGTTAATAATCGAAGGAAGCCTGACACCAACAAGCAATGATCAAGAAAAGGCCTCGCCTCAAAGGCAACTGACAATGGGACCAAACCAAGATCAACATGCTGATTACATCACAGTAAAACGAAAGCAGTTCAAGAATGTGCCCAAAGGGCAACCGACAATGCATTCAGAAAACTGGCAAGAAAATCTTGATGATGCTTCGCCTAAAAGGCAACCGACAATGGAGCAAAGTCAAGCAACTAATCGAAAGCGCAAAGCGGAAGAATCACAAGCTCAAAGCAACAAAAGACTAAATATCACGAACATTATCTACATAAGCTTCGCAAAAGACAAAATTCCAAGCCGAGTGACTTTCACCAAATCAATACGTAACCTGACTAAAGTACAATATCCTGGTCAAACCAGGGACCTCAAGACTGGCCTAGACTATTCAATCAAGCCTGAATCGCCTCAAATTGCCCAAATTATCACCCAAGCCAACCTCGAAGTCCTGTTTCCCGACACAGAAGTAAAAATCGGAGGCAGACAACACAAGACAAACCAACCCAAGAAGAAACAAACTTCCAGCTTTGTTATCTCAAGAGTCAGTGAACAACTCAGCGAAGCTGACATCCAATCTGAACTTGAGGAGATCAACAACATCAAGGTAGCAAAGCTCTTCCGAATCCAAAGCAGAAGCCTAGACAAGCCAACACAACTCATCAGAGTTTTCACAGATGATGACCTCGCCTGCAGAAAGGCAATCGACAATGGGGTCTACATCTGCAACGAACTGAAACGATGCGAAGCATCCAAAACAGAACCACGAGTAACACAGTGTTACAAATGCCAAAATTTCGGCCACATGGCCATTAACTGTCCGAAACAGCAACGATGCCTCAGATGTGGCGACAACCACGCAGTCAGAGACTGCAAAAATCCAAAGCAGCAAGTTAAATGCATCAACTGCAGAGGCGAACACCCGGCGCAGTACAAAGGCTGCCCGGTTTACAAGACAGCTCAAGTCGAAGCCCAAAAAGCACAACCAAAAGTGCAAAGCTACGCTCAAGTAGTCAAACCACAACCAACCACAACCGTAGTCAAACCACAACCAAAACACAACCAACCATGAGCAAAGAGGACATACAGCAGTTCATTAAAGAAACTGTTGAAACTACAATAGCCGATCAAGTCGAAAAAGCAGTGCAGAAAGCCATGGACGAAAAGATAACCGATGCAATCACGAAAGCCGTCGCTAAATCATGTGAGAAAATTAACGAAACAGTCAGCCATGCAGTTAAAACTCAATTCGAGAAAATAGATTTCACTGAACTGTTAACATCAAATATCAAAGCAAAAAAAAAATACAAAAACACACAGAGAAGCAAGCAGCAGCAGACATAGTAACTCCCGAAATCAAAACAACAACAATAAACCAAAATCAATAGACTCAAGATAGCACAACTCAACTGCAGAAGTATAAACAAGCACAAACTGGAGATCCAAGATCTTCTAGCGAAACACAACATCACTATAGTCTGCTTCAACGAAACAAAAACCAAATATCCACCAAAACTACAAAACTTTAACCTTGCAGCAGCAATCTGTGACAGTGTCACAGGCTCGGCAATTTACATCAGAGACAACATACAGTACCAAGTACTGGAACAAGCACAACACATAAACCAAAACCACAGAGAATGCAGAAAAGTATGCGAGACGATCAAGATCAACACAATGGGTATCACTGTAACAAGTGTTTACCTTAGCCCAAACGCAGAGATAGAGAACGTGACTTTCAATGGAAAAGATCCAAAACACATCATCGTTGGAGACTTCAACGCACAGATCAAATCTGTCAACCCAAAAGCAAGAGCAACCAACAGCAACGGAAGAGTTGTAGACGCTCTCATGCACAACTACTTCATCTTGAACGGTTCCGAACCAACACACCAAAGTTACTCAGACCTAGACTTACACTTTGCATCACCAAAAATGGCTTGCCTATGCACGAACTTTGAAGTGTCAGACACAACACCAAGCGATCACTACATGACAATTGCAGAGTACGAACTAACTGTTCCAAAGAGAACATGCACAAAACCAAACTGGCGAAAATTCAGAGGCACAGTAACGAACTACAAGTTCAACCCTGACTCAATCAAAACTGACGAAGGTCTAGCTCGAGACGCTGACCAGATAGCCAAACACATTGACAAGTGCTACCAAGGCAGCCTAAAAGAACACAAGCACCAATTCACGACCCCACAACTAGTCGAACTAGTCAGAAACAATCACAAACTTGAACGACAAAAACAAAAGATTAGACGATATGACCAACAAGACACCAGTGACTACAAAGACCTGTGTACAAAGCTAAACAAAACAAAGAAAGACATCAGACAGCTAAAACAGACAGTAGAAGGAGAAGACCAACTCAAACTACTCAGTGAAATGAACAAAGGACCAACACAACAGAATTTCTGGAAAGCAGTAAAAAAGCTCACAGGCACAAGACCTAAACGAACGAGTAAACTGAAAATGACAAATCAAGACGCTGCGAACTACTTCGCTAAGATGCTCACAGCAAACATGACGACAAATTTAACAAACTCTCAGGCAGCTCTAACGCATGAACAGGAAGTACATGACAAGGTGTCCCAGGCGAAAATCCAAGATTTTCAACTGGAGCAGACAGGTTTTGCACAAACAGAGATTAGCTTAAAGCAACTCAAAGACGTGATCAAGCACAGAAAGAACACTGACCCAGGACAAGACAAAGTTAGCTACAAAGCGATGAAAAACCTGCCCAACAACGTACTAGAAGTACTAAGACAAATCATAGTACAATCGCTGAGAAGTGGCTACGTTCCTCTAGGCTGGAAACAAGCGACAGTATCAATGTTACCAAAACCCGAGAAAGACCACAAAGATCCCAAGAACTATAGACCACTCTCACTTACAAGCTGTATCGGGAAGATCTGCGAGTGTTTTGTCAAAGAGCAGCTGCTAGTACACTGCGAAGATCACGACATCTTCGGACACTTTCAAAGTGCATACCGAAGCGAACGATGCACCACCGACAATTTACTCTGTCTAACAGAGACGATCTATAATGAGAGTAACTGGAAGCAACCCGTTGCAGCAGCATTTCTGGACGTGCAACGAGCTTTTGACTCTGTCTGGCACGAAGGCTTATACTACAGACTACTAGAAATCAACTGACCGAAATGGATTGTAAAATGGACCAAGAGTTTTCTGACAGACCGAGAGTTAACAGTAGTATACCACCAAGCCAAAGCCGACAGTTTCACACCCAGTGCAGGAGTACCACAAGGAAGTGTAATCAGTCCAATTCTTTTCAACATCTATGTAAGCAAACCAGATGCAGGTCTAACAACAATATCACGATATGCCGACGACATAGCAATTTACACAAGTTCAAATACAAGCAAGAAAGCAACACACAGACTACAAGGTGGCCTAAACAAACTTGAAGCATGGTGCCAGAAATGGAAGATAGACGTGAACCCGGAGAAGACGAACTTTATACTTTTTACAAGACACAAGAAGAATGACTGCAAATTAATGCTACAGAACGAAGAGATCGAACCACCAACAACCACTAAATTTCTGGGAATTACATTAAATGACAACCTGACATGGAAAGACTATCTACAAAGAATTGAAGACAAATCGACAAGGAAAATCAATTTTCTACTAGTACTACGAGCCAAAGGCATCAAATCCAAAGTCTTAAAGTTTTTGTACCAATCAACAATTCTACCAGTATTCACATACGCATCACCTTCGTGGGCAAACGCATCTACAAGGCACTTACAAAGATTACAGAACAGAGCACTAAAAATAGCCTACCATCTACCAGTAACAACACCAACAGACGAAGTACATAAAATCACCAGGATGAAGACGATTCAAGAAGAACTAACAAGACTAAACTCAAATTACCTCAAAAGAGCTGCACAGACAAACCCCAAGATACAAGAACTAATCCGAGACACTCTACAACAATCAACAGACACATACGCACACAGACTCACACCAATACAAGCAATTTTCCAACAACACCTTTCCGCAAGATGAACAACACCCGGAAGTTAACAGCTTAAAGAGCAGCTGGTCTGCTTCAGAAGCTTAATTGGTCACAGACCAACACATACTTATCATGAGTAGCATTTTTATTTGCAGCTTATGTTGAAAAAAAAACATTACGCTGCGCTTTTGTAATAAGGAGCGCATATGAAAAGAAAGGAAATTTTTTGAATACAAATAACCCATATTGAGAAAGCTGGAATAAAAAGCAAGATTGCATTCCACTGAAAACTCTAAAAAAAATATCCGACAGACAGTTGGAAAAGATTCAGCACGCTAAGAAACAGAAAAAAATGACCAAGTGGAAAAGAACAAAGAAAACGAAACAAAATTGACAGAAATTTATCTGAAACTAAAAGTAGTTCACGTTTTTTCGCGCCATTTGCACTTTTGTAATTGGAAAACGAAGTTTGCCTTCTTTTAGTCAAATTAATTTGATGTGAACTTTCAGAGAAATCAAATTTGAGCGTGATCAAATTTAAGATTTTGTCTTTGCAAAAAAAACTAAAAAAAAAAAACAAAAAAAAAACAACCACGTACACTGACACTTAACATTGATACTGATAAGACACCTTCGAGATTTATCTTTTTAAACCGATCTACTAATGAAAAGGCTGATATCTGATTCGACTGTACACAAAACCATCTAGTCTAGTTAAACCAAAACTGGTCTAGAAGCATGCAAAAAAGGTCACATCAACCGTCTGCATTATCCATCAGTGCACATTTAACCTTTTTTTAAAAGGCTGTAGGCATGGATCTGGGCATCTAGGATGTGGAATCTCATCAATCAATACCTGAAAAAATTATTAAAAACGACCTTGAAATCAGAAGGCCAATAAATTTACCAATGTGACTCACCAGGTGAATTGTGTAGTTTGATAGAGTGCACGACATTGTCCAACAAAACAGTGACACGACTGAACAGCTGTCCCTTCTCAACTACAACAGGAGGGCGCAAAGATGGCACTTGCTGGCCCTCGTCTTTGGGGTAGAACAGGTAGGAGCCTCCCCTGTCCACTCCATAGCCCACAAAAGACAATTCGATTCGAGTAGATCGTAGAGTGTTTCGGTCTTGAATCGACTTGAGCAGGCCATTCTCGCCGAATGACAGGTTATAAAGGTAGTTCGAAAGCTAAAAACAGGATTCTTAGAATACAATACAAAATTTATCTTAGACTAACTTGCCATCGAATAGTCAATCCATGAGAGCCACTACAGAAAAACGCAAAATCAGACCAAAAACCGCATATTTAAAACGCTCAACCTCCTTTTTTAAAAAAAATGAAGAAAATTGAGAAACATGCAGAAAATGTAATAAATTTTGATAAAAACTCCAAAAACAATTTAACTTCAGGAGAATTGAAAAGCAAGGGACACTGTGATGTTCATCGATTTGCAAAAAACACTAAGAAAAAATCAAATGAAGTGTCGAAAAAAAACTTTTCATAAAATTGGAAAACTGCATGCATACAATGTCTGATCTGGGCCCCCTTTGGTAATTTCAATGACATCTAATTTTGGCAGGACAATAAAATTTTTCGACACCAAAATACTCTATTTTTAAGGGGAATGGGGGAGGCAGAGAATGGTTAGGGCTTGGGTTTTTCTTAAATTTGCCTCCAGCGCAAAAAAAAATTTACCTAATTAGGGCGTTAGTTTTCTTTTCGAAGAGCTGGGAAAATCAATTTGGTCGCCCGTAAAGAGGGTTGACAAAACTTTGAAAATACCCCTCCTCGAAAAAATGTTAGATTTGAGCCTATTGGAGAGCGTTATCTTCCATTTATCAATACTCTGAAGTAAAAAAAAAACCCGAGATGAAAAAAATCAACTTCGAACAGCAAAAAAAAAATGCAAAAATAGATTGAGAGGGATTCTTCTTGACCACATAACTAGCGGTAATTTATTCTGAATAGCAAAAAACTCACACCGGGTAGAAAGGGCCACTCTAGACAGATCGTTTTCTACGATGGGATTTGTCTACTCGTACCTGAGAAACCACCTTTACTCAAAAAGTCAGGAAACTGTCTTCGTGTAGTGAATCTGATTGATTATAATTCATTGTTTGGCACACTGCTAAAAGTTTTCAAATTTTTACTGTTGTCAACAGTTAATAACGTTTATAACGACAAAAATGTCATTTACTAGTAAGGAATGTTATTAATGCAACCCTGTCTACGCCACAGTTGGATTAGATTTCATGAATTGAGCTGAAAAACCTTAAACTCGTTCGATACTTACTAATCAGGGAAAATAATTTTTTTTACTACAAATATTATACTTCAATTAATAATCCAGCCAGAATAGACGATGACCATGTTGAAAGAATTATATTTTTACTTACAGTCGGAAGTTCATAACTAACACAGCAACATACCACCGCATACTTACTTTTCTGCTCTGTCTTTTGAAGCCTGAAAAAGTTCCAAATATTGCTCCAATTTTTCCGGCATGAAGAATATTTACAGAAAAAATATCGCCAACACAGACGGTTGGAAAAGAGTCATGAACGCCAGAAAATAGAAAAACAAGCTGGCTGGTTTTTTGAAAAACGTCAACTTTCGAATTTCCCAAGAAAAAATAAATGGCCAGCTCTTGGAATTTCTAAAACAATTTTTGAATGGCATTTTAAAAATCAAATTAACCCAATTTGAAAACACTGGATCAACCAGGTAAAGTTTTTATTTCGCCGGGAAATCTGATAATTAAATTCCATTTTGAAATTAGAAGTCGATCACGTTTGTCGTGACCTTCACATTTTTTCTGTTTGATAGTAGAGTTTGCCTTCCTTTTAACAATGGATAAGAAGTCAACTCCAGAAATCAAACCCCGAAAAATCAAGTTTCAGCGCGAACAAATTTTAAGACTTTTCCTGAAAAAAACGAAAAAAACACCAATACCTATATACGAGCATTCGTTACGTGCATGACTCTTAATAACATCGATTTAAAAAATTTCAGGGCAATTAACATTTTTATCAAATAAAGCTCGAACCGATGACGATCGACGCAAGCTTTACGGATGTTAGATAGCGGAGTCAAAAACTTTGCAGATATAGTGGGTTCATAATTCCTACGCACTAGAAACAATTACTGTTGGGGAGAAAGGTTGGGTAAAGTTACCATCGTGGCTACGATTTTATGATAAATCAAACATTTTCATGAATCGAGTTACCTCAAATGGTTTCGGATCTGCTTCAACTATTAGGAATCCATTATTTGGGAAACTTCTATCAATTTTCTCGGTGGCACTAAATGTGAAAATTCTGGTCATTGATATTGAACTGGTTTTTGTAGTATTGCTTCGCTTCAAGTAGTATGTAGACACCGAAAGAGGATCCATGTCGACTGTGAACCATAGATCGAAAGTGTTCGGTTCCATAGTTAGGGACAGATTCTTGTTGCTCCATTCGGGAGACACTTGAGATGCCACTGGATTTCCTTTGCTACAGAGAACCTGAATAATTGAGTCAGATAAGTCAAACCCTCCCTATCCAGTTAAGTGCTCGACCAAAATGCAAAATTGAAAACAATATAGAAGATTATTCGGTTATCAACATTAGCAGTAACCCTACATTTAACAAGAGCGTCAATTCACAAACTCGAAACCTAGCCAACAGACAGTTGGAAAAGCTTCAATGAATTCATGGAAACTACAAACTTTCGAGCAAAAAAAACTATTATCACCTTACACTTCTTTGAACTTCAAGAATCTTGTATAGTTAACAATGTTTTGGAAACTAAACCAGTTCAAAAAAATCTTAATCAGTCGGGATTTTTTTGCTCAACAGTGAAACTCTCCTTAAACGCTTAAGGCTATTTATTTTTTTCTCGCAATATTTAGATTATTTTTTATATTGGACAGTTTGACATGCCTTACAAAAGAATTTAAATTAAACTCAGGATGAACTCAGAAGTCAAACAGCTTAATTAAAAATTTGACCGTGAAAAAACTTCGGAAAAACCTATTCAGTCTACAAAATTAATGAAAAACTGCAAAAAAAAACATAATTAGCCTAATTGTTGTGATAAACTTATTAAATAGTTTCAGAGACGGAGATGAAAACTGTTGATGTTGATGGTCCTCAAGACGAAATGTCCACGCTAAAATATCATGGTCAGACACCAATTTGCAGCTCAACGAACAAGAGACCCTTTATTGAACTCAGTCCCTGCGTAGAAGATAATGGTGCAGGACAACTAGACATTTCGGAGCAAGTGGAAGATGCAATTACTAAGTCAGTTAATTTGTTAATGCCGAAGATGATCGAAAACATAAAAGAACAAATCAAGAGCGTTGTTGAGACGGCGATTGGAACAGCCTTATCTAACTTGAAAAACGAAATGATGTTATGGACGAAAGAAGAGATTTCCAAGCTGGAAAAGAGAGAAGCTTTGAGAACCCTATCAGAAGCGGAACTATTAGAAAGCTACAATCGTAGAGATAACGTGAAGATCATAGGCCTGTCAGAAACCTTGAGTAATGATGGAAAACGAGAACAAGTGGAAACAACAATCAATAAAGTAATAAGTGTTGGAGACGCAATTGACGCAAAGATAACCCATACCGATATTTCCATTGCACACAGGCTGCCAACCAGATCCGGCAGAGACAAGCCTGTGATTGTCAGATTTTCGCGGCGAATCAAAAAGATTGACCTTCTTCGCAAAAAACGAACTTTATCTCAAATTAATGGATTTGGTGATGAAAAGATATTCGAAGATTTAAGCACAGCGCGGGTTAACTTTTTACGTATTATGAAAACAGACGAAAGGATTCAATCAACATGGACACGAGAAGGGACTATATATTTTATCTGGAAGGAAGATCAAAGAATCTATAAGATCAATGGACTTTGGGAGGGCGGCGACTTTCTGGATTACAGCATAGATAACGTGTTAAAGTGCTTTAACTGTGTTTTCGGGAATTCAAATGGACAAAGCGATCCTTGAAAACAGGAAATATGAACTCAGTGGTGCTAGTATCAATGTTAATTTTCTATTATCTAATGTTCGATCTATTAAAAAACACCAGGATGATTTAGAAGCACTTATAAGTAGTCTCGAGTCTCCTATTAATATTCTTTTCCTAACTGAAACGTGGTTAAATGAAAACGATAATATTAATATGTATAAAATCAAAGGCTTCCAAACCGTAATATCTAATAGTAGAAACACAAGAGGCGGCGGGACCATGATTCAACTCGATGAAAAAGTTAATCTAATTGATAGGTTTGAATGTAGCTTACCTGAGTCTGTGGCAATACTGGCCGAAATTGGAGGCAATAAAATTATACTAATTGTAGCCTACATACCACCTCGTTATGATAAAAATAAGTTTATCGAAGAACTGGATAAAGAATTAGAAATACTTGCTCAAAAGAATATACCTATTGTATTAGCAGGTGATTTTAATATTAACACTCAGATTAAATAATCTCCAGCAATCATATTTAAACTCAATAACAGCTAATGGCTTTGAGCTCCTAGCTAAAAGTACAACAAGGTTATGTGAATCGACTGAATCTTGTTTAGATCATTTCATAACCCGAAAAATTGATAACCCAATCATTAGAGTGCTTGATAATGAATGTTTTTCTGATCACTATCCCGTAACTTTACAAACAGATTTCAATGAAAGGCTTTTCGATATAAATAATTCATACCGCGATATGTCGTTTCTTATGAAAGAGAAAACACTCTCCGATTTTAACCAATTCCTGAAGCAAAAACTGGAGACAACCAATCTTGTAAATAATGATAACATTGATGATGCTTATGAAGAACTTTATAAATGCCTATTTGAATCGGTAGAGTTATTTGCTCTTATACGAAATAAAACATTAAAAACTAAGTCAAACGCGCCATGGTTTAATAAAAAGGTCAAAATTTCGATTTCAAAAAGGAATCGACTATATAAAGTATGGAAATATGACAAATTGAATACCAAGAAAAAAGAAGCATTTATTCAAGAGCGTCATAAAGTTGAAAAACTAATAAGGGTAACCAAAAAAGAGTATTACTATAGCAGATTTAATAAATGTATTGGAGACTCGAGACAAAGATTTAAAGTACTTAATGAAGTAACAGGTAAATCAACAAAGAGATCTCGTATTACAAATCTATCGGTTAATGGTGAGTATACATCAGATATCATATCAATATCTAATTGTTTTAATGAATATTTTGCCACAATAGGCGAAAAACTCGCTGACTCAATGAAGCCGGTGAATGAAATCTTGACTAATCATGATTCCGATAAATCAATTTTCCTTTTCAACTGTTCTTTTGTGGAAGTAATAAATACCATAAACGATTTAAAACCCAAACAAACTTGTGGAATAGATGAGATCAGTAACTTGCTTCTGATTAGAAGTTGCTATGTCATAGCTCCATATCTTACATACTTATGTAATTTGTCTTTCAATTCGGGCCTATTTCCAAAAGATCTTAAACTGGCAAAAATCTTACCGCTTCATAAAGCCGAAAGCAGATCAGATATGAATAACTATCGTCCGATTGCACTATTAAGTAGTATCAGCAAGGTTTTTGAAAAACTTATGCACTCTCGTATATACAATTATCTAGAAAAGTTCGACCTATTGTACGATCGTCAGTTTGGTTTCCGTCAAAAATATGCGACAATAGATGCCTTAGCAGAATTGACTGAACGCATTCGGCTAGGCAATGATAAAATCTTTAATTGTAGTCTTTTTATTGATCTGAAAAAAGCTTTTGATACACTTGATCATAAAATCCTTTTGTCAAAAATGGAAAAATATGGAATACGTGGAAACTGCTATCATTGGTTTCAAAGTTATCTCTCGGAAAGACATCAATGTGTTCATATCAATGATTATACATCGGATTGGTTACCTATAAAAACCGGAATACCGCAGGGTTCGGTTCTAGGTCCTCTACTTTTCCTTATATATATCAATGATTTAGATGATGTAACTTCACATTCCGATGTTTTCCTATTTGCGGATGATACTAATATCACTAGCAGAAGCTCCAGCATCGAAATATTTCAAAATGACTTGACAAACGTCGCGAACTGGCTGTGTGCAAATAAATTAGCAATAAACACTGACAAAACAACTGTAATTAGTTTTAATAAAAATAGAAGTGCTTCTAATATCGATATTAAACTACTTGAAACTGTGTATAAGCCTGAACCTTCCTGTAAAAATCTAGGAGTTGTTTTAGACAGCAAACTGTCATTTTTTCATCATATTCAAAAAATTAAAACAAAATTGGGTAGGCACTGCGGTGTTATTTCTAAGATGCGTCATTATGTTCCAAAGTCCATTTTATTAAAGTATTATCAGTCGAATATTAAGCCTGTAATACAGTACGGCATACTAGTCTATGGTGGAACCAGTTTTTCAAATTTAAACCAAATATTAATTCTTCAACGGAAAATTGTTCGAATGATTTATTTCAAAAACAAATATGATAGCATAACGGAAACTCTGATAGTCAATAAGATTTTAACGGTTCATGAGCTATACATCTATGATCTGTTAAAGTTTTGCATTCGTTCTTTGAATCAAAAACATTCTACTCTTTTTTTGAATACAATGTTTTCTTTGAAACGTTACAGCTAAAACACAAGGAAATCCAAATATACTTCATTTGTTACCCATTGTTGTAAGAATAACACTAAAGCAAATTCACTGACTAATCGAGGTTCGAAATTACTTAATTTGCTCAACGAGAATAATTTACTGCCCCAAAATATTGAAAAGATGACTAAAAATGAGGTAATAATTTTTATCCACAATTTTAGGGATAGCTTTATTCTGGGTAATTGCGATCTAACTAAATATATTTTTAATTAACGTTCCCCTTTTTTTCAATGCAGTGGTTAAATGCTACACGACAACCATATATGAGCTGCGAATATACCCTAAAAATATGAGCCTCCAAATCCTTGTAGTTTTCGAGATATCACTGTTTTTTTCTGTTTTGTTTTTTTTTCTGTTTTTTTTTTTTGTTTTTTTTTGTTTTTTTTTTGTTTTTTTTTCCACAGTTATTTATATCCTCTAACAACGGTGACAGTGCTTCAATAGAAGGACTGCCCCCCCAATACAATAGTTTTTTTATATCCGAAATATCGCCTTTTTAATGAAAATATCAAAAAATCAAAAATATATTTTATTTTTATCATTATTTTGTTTAAATAACATGAATTGTTGATGTAAACCGGGTAGAATATAAGTGGGCGCTCAATGTGCCTTTTGTCTATCCTCTCCGAGTTATTTATTTTGATGCTGTGTCTATTTTGATGTTTTATTATAACTTTGGAGAAATAAATTCTTTCTTTCTTTTCTTTGTTGTTGTTGTTGTTAGCCCACGCGGGTCGGGTTGGGCTCTTCTGTCTCCAGGTCAAGGAACTTAGCAACCTCTACCGGCCGAAGCCACAGGTCTGCTGGGGTGAGTGGGGAGGGGTTT